GCTCATGACGGAATAGTCTGCGCCTGTGTCTACCCAAGCATTCGTTTCGTAGCCGTATATAATTACCGACAAATCAGAAGTGACGTTACCGTTTCGGCACGTAGTCTCGTGTCCATCATCACGTTTTGAAATCGGCACAGGAGGTTGTTTTCTTGCGTCGGCAGCGGCCTTATCTCCCCAGGTCGCCGATTCTAGTTTTCCCGAAGCGGGCTTTGGGGAAGTCGCCTCGGAGAGTTTGAAGATGGGCGCGGACTTAGTGACCGATACCTCAGTGGTGCTGTCGACCAAGACTGATGCTGCTGCGAGGAGTGAGTACCTTGACGCATGACAAGTACTCCTCGATTTCAGAAGGTCGCTCCCCATTCTGTTGACAGGCAGTGTTTACGGGAAAACCCCGAAGCCCAGTTCGGCGATATTCACACATCCGGTAAAGATGGCCAGCTTCGCCGCAGTGATAACAAAGCGGAATTCGATCAGAAGTGCGCCATATATCGGCTTTTCGGATCCTATTCTCGGCTGGGGACGGCGTAAATCGAGGTTTCGGCTGATGCGTGCTTGATGCGGCGAAATGAGGTCCAGGGGCAGCGAAAAGAGGTCCAGGGGCGACGAAATGAGGTACAGGGGCGCTTTTCAGTACCTCGGCGTACGAGACTGCAGGCTGCATCGGAACCGACGCTTGAACAGGCTGGGATGGTGGTTGCTGGTCACGGACTGCCTGTCTCACCTCATCCCGAACAACTTCCGCTAATGACGAGACCGTTGAGGGGTCGCCGTTTAGCTTCTGGAGCTCTTCTCGAACCACCGATCGAATGAGTTCTCGTAATGCGTCGATGCCATTCCCGAAGACTGCTGACACCGCGTCTGCGGATGCGACGTTAACATCTCGATTGTAGTGCCTCGCTCGCTGTTGCAGAGTCTTTTCAAACGCTGTAGCCTCGGTCCCAAATTCAGTGACGTTCCGTGGGGGACATCGGAGCAAACGAGCAAAATCTCCTGGTTCACCCCACGCATCAGGTGCCGAAGTTTCTTGTCCTCGCTCATATTTTGACCAGACCGGCGGTATAATCGGCACATGTCTTCCACATACATTGCGATGCTTTCATTGTTGCGCTCGTTTCTTGCTTGCAAGGCAGCTTCAGCTCTTTCTTTGCGGTCTGTACTCGGGTATGTGGCCAGTAGCTCGCGTCGCAAATCATCCCACGATCGAATGGTACCTTCATGGTTTTCAAACCACGTTCGTGCGCTGTCCTGCAATGCGAAATAAACTCGGCGGAGCTTCCGTTCTTCAGTCCATTCTTAGCAGTTGGCGACGCGCTCAAAACCCTCCGGCCAATCCTCGGCGTCTTCATGAGGATCCCCATGAAAAGAGTCCGGCGCCCGTGGCTCATCGACAACGACGTGCGTGGCAGCGACTAGAGACGAAACGGCGTGTGCGGCAGCGGTTGGAGACGACATTTCTGTACTCTCACCGGAGACAGCTGGAGACACTCTGGGCTTTTGTGGCAAGAGAAATTCCGGCGGCTCACCACGTAGACGACGGCTGGAGCGCTGATGAACTGGCGTGAGCTCAGTTGGTTCGACTGCTCGGGGTTCCGGGCTACTTCCTCGAAGTCCAACTAGGTTTGAGACCATTACCCGGCTCCTCCACCAGAGTTGTTACGTACAATCCAAATGGTGTACGAATAACTGTTTATCAGGGCGAACTTGTGCCCGAAAAAAAGGAAAATGTAGCGGCGTCTCCAACAGGCGATAAGCAAAAAGGGGATCAATCTCCGAGAAACCCTCGAGCGGTGCACCACTTCTTTTTCATCAAATCCCGTGCTGAGGAGGTGCGCGCTGTCACGGCCTTTACTTGTTTCATCATCAAACCGCTGATGTCTTGGGGGGTGCACAAACTAGCGCGCGTAGTTTGAATACTGCGTTTGCCTTGCGTCAATATATATATATATATATATATATATATATATATATATATATATAACTGTGCTGAAACGTTCGTTGTGTGTGAATTACTCCTTTTTCTATATATATATATATATATATATATATATATATATATATATATATATATATATATATATACAACGTTACATATGAGATCGTTCTAGCCAATTCAACGTCATCATCGTCACCTTCGAGTGACATCGTGCACATAGCTCGACTCAAGCCTTATCACCCTCCTTCTACCGCATCCGAGTTGCTCAAGCACCGAGACATGCTTCTACCGCCAGTGGGTTATGATACACAACAGCCGGCACAGCCTGGCTGCAAGAAAGAGAAAGACGACGTTGGTGGCTGGTCGTTTATGAACTGTCGCCATCTTGGTCGCCGAGCACTGTGCATCGTATTTATTTATTAAATAAGTTACCCGTAACAATATATATATATATATATATATATATATATATATATATATGTATACGACGCTACAAATGGAGACACGTCGTAGTCGAGATGCCATGTGTTTATTCTAAACACGCGCTCTTCCTCATCGTCGGCTTGTCCTAGAATCACCTTGCTAACGCGTCACACATCTCCCTCCCCTCGAGAAAGTCTCAGTTCAGAAGGTACAAAATAACGCCGCATTTTGCTTACATTCACAATGTCAGAGTTTCTACCTTAGGGTAGCACGGAGCGGTTGATTTCATGCTTCACTGTTGAGACCTTGCATAGAATCTTGTAAGGTCCTTCCATGAAGGAACTCAAATTCCCGTTGTTGGGATGCCATGGTGTCTCGTAAAGGACAAAGTCACCGACTTGGAACTCAATCGTAAGAAATTTTCTATCATAAATGAGTTTGCTCTTATTGTGGTAGGCGATTGAATTGGTAACTGCAGTTTTCCAGTACAGTAAGACAAGATGGAATTCCATACATCAGGAAGGAAGGTGCGTAGCCGGTCACTTCGTGGGGTATTCTGTTGTATTCGTGAATTACCTCCGGAAGTAGTTTAGTCCGAGAATTCTGTGGTTCGTCATCGATCTTGCATTTAAGTCTCGTTTTTAATTGTTTTTCAGCATGAAACGTAGGCGTCGCTGTTCTCAGTTCTATAAGAAAACGCTCATACGTGGCGAGTCGCATGATCAATAACCAAGTGTATTAACCTTCTTGACGAGCCGTATCCAGAAAATCCTCCAATGGTGGGTAATGCAATGAGGTCAAAGGGCTCCTCAGCTGGAGGCAGCGATTCAAGCGTCCCAAACTTTTTTGTTTTCGTCTTCTTGCATCTCTGGCATGTATCACAATGCCGAATGTAAGTGGAAACATCGGTTACCATATGCGGCCAATAATATTGCGGATACAGGAGTGATAGCGTCTTCTTCACTCCGAAATGCCAAAATTTTGATGTGCATTCTTCAGAATAGTTGGGCGTAGTTCATGAGGCACGTATATTTTCCCTAGTTTTTTTTTTATTTTGACGATGATGATGTTATTTGCCAATGATCGCGCTATTTTTGGACGCTCATTGTTGCATCACTGAAGGTCGTCGTGTGACAGAAGAATAACTATTGCGGCTCTGGAGAGCGCGTCTGCTTCGACATTACTTGTGCCCTTTTGATGTTTGATGTTCACATCATACATTGACAGTTTCAAAGACCACCAGAAGAGACGACCTTTAGGATTTTTAACATTCTTCAGCCACTTGAGTGAAGAATGATCTGTTACAACAATGAATTACTTTCCATGAAGGTAGCAATGCTATTTATCAATGGAATCCACAGTGGCAAAACATTCTCTTTCTGTAATAGCATAGTTCATCTCGTGCTTGAGTAGCTTGCGGGAATAGTAGGCAACAGGATGTTCTTTGCCTTTGTCATCAGGTCGTTTCAGCACTGCACCGTTGCCTTCACCAGATGCGTCACAGTACTCAGTACATGGTCTCGAAGGGTCCTATATGAGAAGCACCGGTTCTTCAGTATCCACTCCTTCAGTTCACGAAAGGCTTGCTCGCATGCTTCTGGCCACATCCACTTGCTGCCTTTGTGGAGTAGTTTTGTGAGTGGAAGAGCGGTATCGCTGAAGTGGGAGATGTACTGACGGTAGGTGTTTACAGTGCCCAGAAAACGCTGGAGATCTTTTTCTTGTTTTTGTGTCGGAAATTCGAGTATGGCAGCCACATTATTTTGCTTAGGCGCCACAGTTCCTTGTGAAATTTTGTGGCCCAGGTATTCAATGCTACAGCGTGCACATTGGCACTTTTTTCGTTTGAGTTTTACGTCTTTGGTTTTGAGAGCATTCAATAGTGCCTCAAGGTGTCGTATATGATCATTAAATGTCTCTGAGTATACGACCACAACGTCAATGTAATTACTAACATTGGTGAGCTGATGTTTTACTATTATTGATTTCATGGCTCTTTCAAATGTAGCCGGAGCGTTCTTCAACCCGAACTGGTTGGGGAAGTGTGACGCTAGAATATGGAGACACGTTGTGGTCCAGATGCCATGCGTTTATTCTAATGCACGCGCACTTCCTCTTCGTCGGCTTCTTGTTAATGCGTCACACACACACACACACACACACACACACACACACACACACATATATATATATATATATATATATATATATATATATATATATATATATATATATATATATATATATATATATATATATATATATCGGGAGATAGAGAGAGAGAGAAATGGAAAGCAAATAATCGAGAAAGGAGTATATCTGAACAAGAGTGGAGGCTATGAGATCATAAGATGTGGTTTGAAACAGAGGTAGTGATAGGTCCAAAATGAAAGATTTATGTAAAAAATGTACATTAACATGGCAATCATAAGCAGGCGTCCAGTACCCTCTAGAGGACTCTTCTTTATTGTCTCGAGTATATGCACCACAACCCAAACTGAAGTGCTGATGATATATATATATATGTATATATGGTGCATTACATTTACTAGTAATAGCATCCCCTACACTTGCTTTGGGTGTGTTATAGGCTGTTCGGGCTTACCATTATGACGTTTCACCAACCTATATATATATATATTCAAGATTTAATAGTGCGGAAGTATTTTAATTTGTGCTGCGTGTAGTACATAAAAAATTTGCCGTCACATTGAAAATTACTTACGTGTGTGAGATTTAACGTTACGCTGTTATCACCGCGATGAAACCAGATATTTCTTTTCCCACGGTTGTTGTGCTGGGTCGTTATCAGCTGCGGGTCGAAGCTCGTCACCATCACGTAACGATCAGGCAAGTTGCGGATATACACAGTGAACGGAGAATCTGCGCTGAGGTCTTGCCTTTTTCCGTAGTTGTGGTACTTTGTACCTGTTCCAGGGTCTACACCTATGTTTAGGCTGCAAAAGAATAAATAAATGGGTACCAGCTTTAGAGATGTCAATCAGGTCGCCATTTTTGCAACGCAATAAAAAAACAGGCATCAGCATTCACTACGAGTTCGGATTTTACATTAGCGATTGTCGAGGTCGGTACAGTGAATGCTCGTTATTTGAGCTTGTATGCGGTAGAAATAATCACAACAGCCTAAAGTTAAAGCATTACAATTTTGAAAAAAAATGAGAAAAATAATGTATATATTGCATTGACACAACCAAATTTTTTTATGAACACGGTAATGCGACCTACATTTCATAAAAAGGAGTGAAAGCTGCAGTTATCTGACTGTGTACAAAGGAATGTGCTGACTGTGTACATATTGACATAGGACAAGATCCCCGTATATTCAACCAGACACTTTTGTTCCCGTGCTCGTGGTTAAGTATCGTTTCAGGCTGCGGTTCAAAGCTCCCCAGGATGAACCCAGGCAGTGCAGAGCCGAAATGTGCTCTGCACCTTCTGCTGATAATGAACTGCCACGAACAACACCACCATGCACTCGTGAAAACAACTTTACCATATGTGAAATAGCCGACAAGTAAATGTTCGTCTGTCGCCATGTATCAAGAAGGGGCGTCGTCAGAAAATTTTTTCTTTAGGAACGGAGGTCACACACACCAACTGGGGTGAGGGGGGCACAAGCATGTGCTTTCCTCTGTGACGTGACAATAGAGGGAGTTTTTGCAGAATGTGTGCATGATATCGAAGTCATGAACCCCCTCCCCGTGCCCATAAGCCTCTGAAGAGAGTAAGTGAAAGCAAAGTAAAAGCAGCAGAAATATTTGACAGGCACAGTGTCCGTTTGGAGCAACGGCCTGTGGTCGCACCATTGAATGGATAAGTTTTCAGAAATACATCGTTGTGATGACCCGCCTGATCAGAGAAAACATTGTTAATCATTAATCTCAGTTAAGCGTAACTGGTGTAGTTCTCGTCGGGGTGAAGTGCGTTTCGCAAGTCAAGGATGCCTCTGCTTACAAGGTGGATTGAGAATGACCATATGCCTGTGGGAATGATTCTTGTCTTTATCTCCATATGCCCAGCAGCCCTGATGTTGCGATACTTTTTAGTCAAGACTGTACAGTTTACTCCGCGCATTCACGCATGCTTGCGATATGCAAGAAGTATTTGAACGCGATAGCGTTAGAGAACTCGTGTCGCAGAAATTCTCCCATCGGCGTCGGCCCCGTTGCTTGGGAGCGGAAAATCATCCGTGAGTGAAAAATTTGAGATTAACATAAAATTAAGAATAATGTTTTCAGAACAATTGAAAATTGAACACGCGCTGTTCGCGTGGCAAGCAGCTGTCCTACCACATTGCCGCGATGTCACTTGCAGCTGCTTCGGGAAAAACACTTCATAAATGTCATGTAGTGAAAGATGTCTCCTGAACGCATTTTGTTCGACAAATGTTCAGACGAAAATGAGCCCATTCGGCGATTTGTAGGCGCATTTGGGATGACATCAAACTGCGTCAAAAAAGGCCGGAATAGCACAGCAATCGCCGCTAAAAACACACAGGAAGTTTCAAACAGCTCCGAAAATGAACAACTATGTTTATCTAGGGAGAGACATCTTTTGTCTTTACAGAGGCGTTGATCAAGTAAACAGTAAACGCTAGATAATGTGCTGCCATGTGTGAGGCATTGTGATAGTCTTTATGCCCCTTAAAGGAAATGCTCTTTCAACAAACCACAACACTGTCATAGATTTAGCTTTTCATTCTCACGACACCATTAAAGAAGTGAAGTACTGAAGTTGCCATTTCATGGAGCAAAAGTCGATGCTTGTTGCGGTTGGGTGGAAGCTGTCTCCTGAAGAGTAGGTCGAACAATTCAGATAGCTAACGCAAGATGAAAGACAGAAGGTGACCATTTACGATTACAATTGTCATGCCTATGAGCAGTTTATAACACACGACAAGGGGGCTATATCACTGTACAATATTTTCATGAAGTTGTCATAAAATTGCTGTCAAACAGATCGAAAACCTGTACGTTACTGCCAATAGATCGCGCTTGCGCGCGCGCGTTTGTGTGTGTGTGTGTGTGTGTGTGCGTGTGTGTTTGTGTATGTGTGTGTGACAAAACGTATTAGTAAATATGCACTGAGCGGTTTAAAAGGGTGCGCCGGGTGCCCGATTTCGCTATCGCGTTCAACTCTTAAAGGCTGGTGCACACGGGCGACTAGCCGTGGTCGCGCGACCATTTGCGACTGGTCGCAAACGGTCGCAAATGGTTGCAAATGGTCGCAAAACGACTGCTTTGGCTAGTCACTTCCTGAGCGATTTTTCAGTCGCGCGATGCTCAATCAGCGATGCTCAATTTTTTATTTTTTTTCCTTGTTCTGGCCTTCTGCTGCCAGATACAACAAGTGAATTCGCCCCGCCACTTTGGTCTAGTGGCTAAGGTACTCGGCTGCTGACTCGCAGGTCACGGGAATTAAATCCCAGCTGTGGCAGCTGCATTTCCGATGGAGGCGGAATTGTTGTAGGCCCATGTACTCAAATTTGGGTGCACGTTAAAAAACCCCAGGTGGTCAAAATTTCCGGAGCCCTCCACTACGGCGTCTCTCATAATAAAATAGTGGTTTTGAGGCGTTACACCTCACAAATCAAATAAGTGAATTCGTCTGGGTCTGTGGCATCATGGCCACCAGGGAATGCTTGGCTTGGAGATTGCGGGGCGCAGCGGCTCGAGCAAAGTGTCGAATTTACGTGGCGGCATTCGCAAGCAGCTAAACACCATCAAAATAAAAAAAATAAAGTGTGCACTATCTTTCCCCCGTATTCAGAATCGTTTTTTGTCTTTACCTTGACTCAATGCATGGTGCTTGGAACGCGTTTGTGCTTCATGCCTTGGCAACGACTTTAGACACCGCGTTCGAGACGCGTTTGTGCTGCATTGGAGGCTGTGGCAAGTCGAGATAAATTCAAGAGCATTTATGAATACGTACGACTTTCGGAAATACTTCTCGTTGCCTCACGCTGCTCGGGAGGCAGGCAGCTTGCATGGCCGGCCAACTTCCGCGATCGAAGGAAGGGTCTCACACACCCCCGGCTTTTTAAAGACGATAGTCTTTCTTGGGGACCTTCAACGCAAAAACTTTGGTATGGCTATCTGTCTGTACATTTGTTTGTTTGTCCACCATTACCGCGAACCGGGTATTCCAAACAGCACCAGCCGATACCCCGAACGGCTAACCCCTTCCGCAGAGCCAACCATTGTTGCTCGAGAATCAGCGTTCATGCGTGTGCAATTGTCAATTAAAAAGCAATTATTGCGCATAATTGAGGTCCCATAACAACATGTCTATATTGTTATGAGAAGGAGACCGACTCGGAGGGGTAGTCCGAGATGTATTTACAGCCGGTTAAGCGAGCAGCGCCAGCCACAGAGATTAGCTCGCGCCTGTCTTCTTTTTCATCTCCATGCACTGACACGTAGCATGACCCCCGGCAGTGGGGGCACCGCCCGGTGCTTTAAAGGTCGTTATCTGACACATTCTTCTAGGGTTTGATCCGCGATTCGTGTACAATATCACTGGACCGCAGAGCAGATGATGATGGATCGATGGGGCTGATCTCGTAGGTGACAAGTGTTACTTTACGCAATATACGGTAGGGTCCCGTATAATGAGACAAATGTTTTTCTGATAGGCCCAGCCGACAATGAGGGGACCAGAGTAAAACGAGGGTACTGGGGATTAAATGTACGTCTCTATATTCCGCAACTTACCGACGGCATCGGTTGGTTTGCGACGCCATCAGTCGAGCGCGAGCAAGCTGACGGGTCTGATCGGCTCGCGCAATCGCGTCGCGGGCATGCTCGCTGGTGAACGAGGTGTTAGCTGAGAGGACTGTGTCTAGTAGTAAAGTCGGCTCTCTTCCGTACAATGGGTAGAATTGCGAAAAGCCCGCTGTGCCATAACGGGATGAATTATACGCGAAAGTTTCGTACGATAAGGCAAGGTCCCAGTCTCGGTGGTCGGGCGACACGTACCTAGCGAGCATATTTATTACAGTACGTTAAAATTGTTCCGTGAGGCCGTTTGTTTGAGGGTGGTAAGCGGTTGTCAGTGTGTGTTGCGTAGAACAATAATGCAGAATGTTGGCAATGACTTGGGATAGAAATGTACGGCCACGGTCTGTGAGGAGTTGTCTCGGAGCACCGTGAATCAATATATCGCCCCGTAACAAGAAGTCAGTGGCGTCAGTTGCAGAGCTGGTCAGTAGAGCTCGCGTAATAGCGTAGTTTGTAGCGTAGTCTGAATCATGGCTATCCATTTGTTTCCCAATGTTGAAGTGGGAAAACGACCAAGCAGGTCTAACCCAACGAGGTAAAATGCTTCCACGGGTATGTGAATTGGTTGAAAATGGCCAGCGGGAAGCAGCGACGTTGCTTTACGACGTTTTGCACGTGGCGACGTATTGGCGTATCGAGCGAGCAAGGCCTGGCCAGAAAAAACAGCGCCGGACGCGCTCGTACGTGCGAGAAACGCCAAGGTGTCCTGCCCTGGAAGCGTCGTGAAGTTCGGTGAAAACACAGCGACGCAAATGCTTAGACACAACAATGAGAAAGTCAGGCCCATCTGGTAGGAAATTGCGGCAGTATAGCACACCTTTTTGAAAGACAAAGTAGCGGACAAAAGCATCATTTGGGGAGGATTCCTTGCGGCTTACGATGTCAAGCAGCACTGGATCGCGCTTCTTTTCTTCCCCAATGTTAAGAAAGTCGGCCACTGACAAGATAAAGTTCTCTGTGGTCGCGTCAGCCTCCTCAAGATTGTCGACAGGATACCGCAAGAGGCAATCGGCATCATGGTGTAGACGGCCCGATTTGTCGACCACCGTATATGGAAACTCTTGCAGGCGCAAAGCACACCGACCAAGGGACCTGATGGATCTTTCAGAGAGTTGAGTCAGCAGAGCACGTGGTGGTGGGTATCTAGCGAAAGTGGG